CTGGCTGTTGCACTGTGAAACTGTTCTTCATAAATGTCACTGACAGAGATAAACCCGGTGAAATTATGAGTCTGCAACCATGCTATGATGTAAAAGGAAGGATTTTTTAAAGTTGCTTATATGCCATTCCAAAATTCTTATTCCAACAAAACTTGGCTCAAACGATCCAGCATATTTCATAAAAATTAAATTAGATTCCCACCGAGACATCTATTAATTGGAATAGAAACAGTTTCTTGCAAGGTCATCGAGATAATCCAATATGAGGAAGTGGATGGAAAAGGAGGAAACATCTAAGCATAAATAATGAATTTCCAGCAGCTTTTCTTTCTATCCCTAGCAAAGACCAAAAGCCACTGAAAAGATTTTTGTGAATAGTTCATCAGAAGTCATATGTAGCACATCTGGCCCTTCTAAGCCAACATGCTTTCATAGTAAGTGCTAGAGCTCTTGTGAAGAAACCTCTTTCTATTTTTACAAAGATTGCTGCTAGCTACCTAGCTAGCTACTCAGCCCCTCCAGCACGCCTCGCCTGCCTGCCTGCTATCTAAGCATTAACAGTCTTCACCATGTGAGAGAGGAAATTGGGAACACGAGACACTAAAGACTTTCACAACTATGTGTCAGCGCTAAGGTTCATAAACTGATTTATCTATATATTCATCCTCTAGTGTAGCAGTTCCTCTATTAAGTACGTGAACATGTTTCCAGCTGCTTTTCCTAAGAAAATTAAAACCAGAAAACAGATTTTATCATCTCCTACTGCAGTATTTATCACACCTACATTCCTACGAAGGGATCTGTGGCATTTACTGTTACGAAGACTCAGGATGCAGTCAGAGGGTACAAATAATACGATCTAACAGCCAGCTGCTGCATAAAAGGACATTTCTACTCCCCCTCACTTGCTATGCGTTCCCATCACCCTGTCTCGTGTTAGCACCGACACCTGTCTGATGTCTCAGGAAACAGTTCAGGAAGCAAAATCAGCAGGAAACGAGCCCTGCGAAAGGCAGGGAAGCTTTCCTGCCACTCGGCTCCCTGAACCAGGCCACTGCAGGGTCAGGCGTGCACCAGCAGCAGCACAGGGATGGGAGGGGAAGAGAGACTTGTCAGGGCTGTAAAGCACGGCCGCCCGCCTCGGTGACAGCTAGTCACCGGGTCGGATGAGCTGTACCACCAAACCATATGTGTACTTTTTCCTCCGCCGCCGCCAGGCACAGCTTTTTCTGTGCCACAACTTGAACACGCACTGCTGCATCCTCCTTGGGGGGGTCAGGGGGGCAGAGGGTGCCAGTCCTATGCTAGCCCATGCTTCATTTCAGGTTTCACAGAGTAAGCAGCATACCACACCAGCTAGCAACTGGTGCTCTAGCCTATGATCCTGCTGTTGACATTTTAGCAGAAGCATTATTATACTGATTCTATGGTGAAAAGATTATTTTTAAGGTGGCTTCAAGCTGGCATTGTATAAAATTTAATACTTCAGCAAAACATCATGCGCTCCTGCCACCACTGCCTGCTTTCAGATGGCAATTACTGGTGGAGAAAAGGGCACAGTAACACCTCTCCCTTCTGGCTGTAGGAGTCTGAAATTACAGCAAACTCTCAGCGCCCCAAGGCTGATGATAGGAAGGTGAAGCTCCTGAAGAGAAGCGGGGCCCATGATGTGTGTGGCAAGGGCTCCACCAGAACCCTTCTGCAAGCCACTCTGCACCTGAGGGCACCTCCTCCAATTTCCTCTAAGCAGGTGTCTGCTGAAGGCTGACTGAATGAAGCGTTCCCCTTGTGCTCTGCAAATGTCAGAGCAGTTTGCAGTGCTATCACCTTCGTGTCGCAGAATGGAGATAGTTAGGTACGAAGAAGTAAGGAGAAGGCAAAACACTGGGTGAGTGGAAATGGGAGTCTGCTCCTACCTCTGCCCAGAAGTTGCACCGTCACCCACAGCCCGCTTCGGCTTTCCTTTTTTCAGTTTCCCCACATGAATAGTGGCTGCCGCATCACTTCCCCTGCGCGCGGTGGTGCTTCATTCCTCAATCTTTATAAAACACACCAAGAAGCACAGGGAAAAGCGTCATGGGAAGGCCCAGCACAGCTGCGGGACGGCGGCGAGCGGTGGGCGGGCACCACCGTGTGCCACAACAGGCAGCGTGCGCCGCTAACGCAGGGGAGGAAAGAGACAAAGCCCTCAGAGCCCTCCGGGTAAATCTGCACCAAGAGCGTGGTGCCTTGCCAAAGGCTGGTCACACAGCTCCGCGGGATGCAGCGCAGCAGGAAGCTGCCGGCCCAGCTCACGCTCCCATCACGACGACGACGACGATGACGACGGGGCATTCTGGGCAGATCCCTCGCATTACAAACTTCCGCCGGTTCACGCCCGTGAGCCATTCTGCAGCCAAACATCCTCTGCGTAAGGATTGGGGATTGTTGGATTTGAGAAAGGAAAAGAAAAACCCAGAAAACCTGACCTTTTTCTATTTTTTTTTTCCCCTGCAGTTAACATTTTACATGGTAACAATCTTAACCATAAAAGCTAACGCAATGCAGAGCACTTCAAATGCCGTGCATCAGCACGTTTTCACAATTTTACATAAAAATAAAACTAGAGGTGGGAGGCAAATCCAAGCATAACGAATGCTTCCTTTACAGTGCCAACTGAGACACGTCTTTAAATCTGAATCTAAGGCTTCCAAGGCCTAAAACGTTGCTGCTATTTTCCATGGTTTCTACTGCGTCTGTTCCAGATTTAACAACTGAAATGTTTCTTGGTTGAAATTGTTTCTCTGCTCCTTTCTCTGTGAAACAGCTGAAATCATTTCTCTGCTCCTGACAGGTATTGAGTTTCTAATCCAGAGTTGGTCTTTCCAGCCTTACAGCGCTGTGCTTGCAAGGGACAAGTGACACAAACTCTAAAAGCAGCAAAAAGGCATCAGGTTTGCATTCTTCAGCCTGATATTAGGGGTTATCCATAATAATGCGGTGAAAATGTTTTACCAGCTGCTGAAATTAAAAAAAAAAAAAAAAAAAAAAAAGTGTTGCTTAGAATCAGACACAGCACTGTACTTAGTGGCCATTATTAGCTTATCTACCACAAAAGCGGAGGGATAGAAGTTGTCTGCTTAGTTGCATATTGTTATCAGTGCTGAGCCTGCAAGTCACGGCACAGTGGGGCGGGGAGAGGTGTCAGCTTCCCGGGCAGCGATGGAGCACGAACGCAAGGGAAAGAGACACTTCGATAGAGGGACGTCACCCCCCCTCCCACACCCGGCTGTCCTGTGGCACATCCTCCCCGCCACCTTCGGTCAACCGGCGGGGAGCCCCGGTGCACCAAGGAGGCACAGAAAACAGGACGCGGCTGCCGAATTTTCTCTCTACCTCAGTAATCATTCCCAGCACGAAACAGAAAGCGTCGCTGACCACTCGGTGTTCTGTGTTGCAACTGTTACGCTTGCAATTTTTAGTTCTCAGGGCCTGCTCTGCACAGGATGAAATCCTGCAAGTGAACAGAATGTGAACTGTAGTAGAGAAATACAGGGAAAGCGCAGCATGAGAGACATAGTTAAAGGATTGTAACAGATCTCCCAAGCACAGGACACTGGACTACAGTGATTCAGTTACAGCTACCAAATGCTTCACAGAGTATTGAAGCTCTTTCTGCAACATGACAATGGCACCTCCCCTGTTTGTGTTTTTTTTTTTTTGTTTTTTTTTTTTTTTCTCAAAAAAGGTGAGAATTATGGAGGGAAAACACTAAGTAACTATTTTCACAGACGCAAATTATAAAGAAACTGTCAAACACTCTTCAAAGGTCAGGAAAAGTTTTAATTTACATATTTATACACACACACATATGTAATGATTTGGAGAAAATATCACAAAGCATAAAATGATACTAAATAAATCAAGGATACAAACATGTTTACTTTTATATTATTATAATACAAACCAATGCTTATTTAACAGGTCATTCTCGTTTAGGCGCACACTTTAGCAGTAGGAACATCTATCTCCTTTCGGTGGCTGACCAACGAAGTCATCAGAAACAGTATTTCATGTAATTATTGACTCACGACAGTCTGAGGCTGTGTCCTGCTTCAAAACTGTTGACAATGCCATCTTGAAGCCAGGTTGAACATTTTGAATTTTTTTTTTTTTTTTTCCAGAGCTAAAGCTCACTACAGTACCCAAAGCTAGTGGCGACAACCTGCAGACACCCACTGCGAAGTGTGTTTCCCAGGAGGCATTTCCTTGGGTTCAGCTGCGAGGCAGGAAAGCAGCTAAGTTCACACCAACGCACCCGGACACCCTAGACAGAGCGGCGTGTCACGCCTTACTCACTCAACCACACCATTCCCAAGATGAAAGATAGATTACTTCCCTGCATCCTTTACAATGAGAGGGCAAGCGCGCCGCCCTTCCCAGGGCGCGGGGAGGCCGAGCCTTAGTCCCCTCAGCGTCCCCGCTAGGAGCGAACGGCCCTTCACCGCAAGGGTGGGAAGCCGGGCACGCCCCGGGCCGCCGCCCCGGCCCCCCTGTCGCTCGGCGGCGGGGCCTGAGGGGAAGGGCCCGCCCCTGGCAAGGGCGACAGCCAGCGCTCTCCCGAGGAGCCCTGCGGAGCCTCGCCCCGTCCCGTGCCCCCTCAGGGGAATGCGCGCGCGGGGGTAACGTCCGCCAGCACCGTCCCCGCCCCGCGAGCCCGGCCTCGGCGCGCACGCGCCGCCCCGCTCAGCGGCGCCCCGCGTGCCTTTCTCGCCCACCTTCCCCCCCCCCCGCCCCGCCCGGCTCGGCCAATCGCCAGCCGCGCCGTGCCGCCTCCCCGTCCGTCACGCATTCTCGCGCCGTGACGCCAGCCGCTTTGCCCCCTGGAGACTTCTGACTGGCCGGCGCGGGCCTTTCTTTCCCGGCCGTTCATTGGCCGGGGCGCGCTGCTACGCATGCGCAAAAGCCCTCCCCAGCAGCCGGAAGGCACCGCCCCTTTCCTCCTCAGCCCGCCTCCTCCCCCCCCCCCCCCCCTCCCCTTCCGGGCCGTGTCAAGCGGCGCCACCAACGTGGAGCGCGGAAGGTCCCTCCCGCGGGGCGTCGGGTGGGCGCGCGCGGGCCCGGGCAGCCGCAGCCGTTAAGCCGCCGCGCTCGCTCGCTCGCTCCGCGGGGCCAGGGGCGGCAGGCAGCGGGGCAGGCCGCGCCGCCGGGATCACCTGTTGGCCCGGGCCGCCCGCTGCACACCACCCCGATCCTTCCCCACCCCCCCCCCCCCCCCCCCCGCTCCTTCCCGCCGCCGTTGGGAGCGGTCGCCGCCGCCATGGCGGAGACCGAGGAGAGGAGCCTCGACGACTTCTTCGCCAAGCGGGACAAGAAAAAGCGGAAGGAGAAGAGCAGCCGAGGGGCGGCCGCTGCCGCCGCCGCCGCCAGCGCCTCCAACGCTGCCTCTAACGCCGCGGGGGCGGCCGCGGCGGCCGGGGGAACGCGCCCGGCGGATGGCAGCGGCTCCGGGGCCGCCGCGAACAACGCCGGCTCCGCCAAGACGGCGACCAAGGTGCGGCAGGGGCGAGGGGGGGGGGGGAGGCGGCGGTTGGCGGGGGGGGGGGGTGGAGCGGGGCCGCGCCGTCGGGGCGGCGGTGGGGGGGGAAGGGTCGCGGCTTCCTCCGCCGGCCCCGGGCGGCGCCTTCCTGCCGGCAGGGGGCGCTGCCGCCGCCCGGCCATGCGGGAGCCCGGGGCCGCCCCGGCGCGGAGATCCCGCGGGGTGTGGGGAGCCCGGCGGGTTTCGGGCCTCGACCCGCGTGGGAAGAGGGGGTAGGGGGGGATGGTGGGGAAGCGGGGGTCGGTTCCCGGTCTTGCGGCTTCGGTTCTGCCCAGCCCTCCCCGGTTGCTGGGTCTTGGCGGAAGGTAGCGGCCGGAACTGGGGATTTGCGTCGGGTGCCACCTGGGTGTGCGGCCTGTGGACCTTGGCGATGAGATTCTCGCCCCCCCCCCCCCCCGCCCCGGCTCCGCAAGCAAAGCACGCCGAGCTCTTTGCATTCCTGCCAGGAAGGGTTTTACTGCCAGTAATTTTTTTGTACTGTGTTACAGTGAAATGATGAGAATGCGAGAGAAGTTTGAGTGCTCGTAGTTGAGTTAGTGCCTTACAACTGACCATGCTGTATATATTTAAATGAATTTTAAGAAATACTCTGCTGTTACCTAATGTTATTTAATATGGGGAGCTTGACACCTGAATTAGCTTTGAGTAGACCAAGGTCAGTGGTAATTTTTCAGCTGGTCTTATGCTCGTTTGCTTGTAAAATAATAGCTGGTTTTGACTGAAGCTTGTACTTGGATTAGAAATAAAGATCATTAAATGTGAAAGGTACGTTAGTTTGGAAACTGATGTTTCCATGGAGATGGGGATATAAGAAATCTAAAATATTTTAGAGCTGTAGACTCAGGCTCTTCCAAAAGACTGAGTCTTCAGCAGACAGTGCAATAACATGAGGTTACTTTCGACTTTTGCTGTTACTTTAAAGCAGGTTGAAGTTTTCCTTCTAGAGGTTGAGGTAGAAGGTTCTAGGACAGGGCTCTTTAAACAAGCTGCGTTCCCAGCTGTTCAGCAGAAAGGGAACTATACCGTCGGCAGACCTTGCTTGCAAGGTCTTCATATTTAAATTAATATAACTGCATTTCATGTAGAGTGTAGGAACTGTGTAAACTACTAATTAGGTTGTATGTGTCTTAAAGTTCTGACTAGGAAAATGGGAGGACTGCCTATCTGTTCTGGGCCATTTCTGGCCTACTTTAATAAACTGCTGGTTTTATGGTAGGACAAAATTGGCTTCACTTAGGTGGGTCCTTCTCTCCCCAAACACGTAATCAAACTCCTGTTGTAAAACCTTAAAGCAATGCTCTCCAAAGATGAGTATTCCATTATTCTTGGGTGTTAAGATTTCTGTGGTTTTGAAGCTGACCTTTGACTAGTATAAAAATATTATTAAGAAAGCAAGAAAGGCTCTAAATGTGGTTGGTTGTGAATGTGAAAAAGTCAAATGTACCAATATTAATCTTTGTCATAAATCCACTGGAAGCTATTCCAAATATTCTTTACAGTTTGGCTCATGAAATAAGTGATGGAAAAGCTTTGTGTGCATTCAAGCTGTCATAAAAGCTTACTGTTAGTAAAAGGGAGAGGTCTTGCCTTTGTATTTCCTTGGTCTTGACTGCACATCCCTGTCCCCTACTTTGTGTTGTCCTTTGACTTCCTGCTGCATTTTTACAGAGATGATGTAGTTCGCTTTCACTTGAATGACTTCTTTGCTGGGGTGTTTCTTAGCTGTTCTAGTGAGTTAGTCAGCTCCCAAGTGCGTCCTAGGTGACATACAGTAAGTTGGGGGAGGAGGGAGTGGAATCCTTTCCCCTGTTGGCAGTGGTACACACAGATTGATTTCCCACGCAACTGCACCTTCACCCTAGTTTTCTTTGTATTATCTTAGTTACATTCTTCTTTTCTACTTTTGCTGTGAGGGAGGTAACAACTTACGTTTTCCCCCTTTTACAGGAAGAGGATGATTGGAAGGAGTTCGAGCAAAAGGAAGAAATTGATTATAGTGGTCTTAGAGTTCAGTCCATGCAAATAAGGTACTACTTTTTTTTTTTTTTTTTTTCCCCTTTTTCTCTCCGGTATAATAATTACCTATGTCTAAAAAGTATCTTTCTTCTTCAGACCTGCCTCCATGAGTCCAATTAAACAGAGGTTTGAGATGTTTCTGCTAGTACAGAAGTTCGCTGCAGAGTGACATAGGTTTGACTGTTCTCTGCCAGTGTTCTCTCCATTTTCTAAATCTCTGTTGATACTCTAGGTCTGTGTGTTTTGGTTGGGACTCAGATTTTTATTACAAATGCTTAACATTCCCCTCCATAAAAGTAGTGAAGTAGGAATTTCTCTGAAGGGAGTGCAGGATAGTAAGTCCCACTGAATCATTCGACTGCTGTAAGGGTATCTGACTCAATCTATTTAGCATGTCAAGTTTGGGAAGTGAATTCCCGAACCACTGGATTTCTATTTCAGAAAACCCAAACTATAGTTGGTAAAGCTAATATCCCATGACAAGATCCCACAGGACTGCATTTACGAGTCTCATCCAAGATTCTTTGCTTGCCTTTTCATTAGATTGCTCCTGTAGTCTGGTCCAAGCTAAGTTACCTAAGTCTGTCCTGGTGAAGAAAAACACTTCATCAGGTCAGAAAAAGGATTTTTATGACAGTCTTTGTCTGAGAATGTCACATAATCCTCATTGTGCAGGTATTGATGATGATCAGAGTAATGCAGTCTTAAAATCATCTTACCTGTAGCCAGTGCAATGGATGCTTTCTTCATTGTTTGAGCAGGTCTTACATATTTTTTGATGTATTTTTTTTTTTTTTTTTTAACATCCCCCTTCCCCATTCAGTTAACTAGTCCTTTTAGGCCATTTGCATGTATTTGGTCCACAATCTCTCCATACCATTGAAGTGTCACAGCGGATAATCACACGTCTGAATGGAGAAGTAACAAGTGGGCTGCTGCTTCACTGACTACTAGTACTGTTTGATTGAAAAGCGAGTACTTTGGTTTTCCAGACAAAGGCTGGCATTCTGAATGCTTTTGATGCTGTGGCAGATTTTCAGGCATGTGGAAATTTCTGCCATGGGATTTTGTAACCATTCAGATAATGGATTCGAGGGGAGAAATAAATGGAAGAACCCACCGGAGGGTATAAGTTATCCAGCTCTGGAGGTGTCTTTGCTGAAAATAAGACACAGAGTATCTGGCGGGCGGGACATTGCATATACTTACTCTGTTCTTGCTAGTCTGTAGGCATCTGCTTTTGAGTGCAGTTTAAAATAGGACAGTGATGTGTTTAGGCCCTTGGTCCAGCTTACTATGATTGTTACTGTATTTGGATGAACAATGAAAGGCTGTTTAATTCTCAGAAATTGTAGGTATTTTTAACTGTTCCCTGATTATTACTTATACAGAAAGGATGTCTAATCATGATTAGTAGGATTTGATGTTATAAACTTCTTCTGTATTCATACTTTCCTGCTGCTGTTCCGATCAATGTCCTGGGTCTTCTAACAGCCTCACCCTCCACATATGTCCAATTATACCACACAGCTTTCTGTAGTGTCTTTGTCTAGCAAATCGTTTTGAGCCTCTTGACTGTTCCTGTGCAAAATAAAATAGTCAAAATACAGTCAGGCTTTTACATAGGATTTATCTTTTAAAAATGGCATAATTTTCTCTCTGTACTTTTTGATTAACTGCCTTAAAAAAAAAAAAATCTGAGTTGGTTTGTAGATTATATTTGTAAGGGTAATATAAGAGTGTTTCTCAGGTGGTTGTGGCTAAGGGGAAAGGGAGCTCAGGACTTGCTTTCTGTTACTGCTTTTCCACAATTTCTTCCTCTTGACTAGAGCATTTTATGGAAGCTTGACTCGTAGACCTTTTCTGCTTTATCTTCTCATCACTTCCAAATGCATGACTGTCTTAGTATGAAAAATTTTTCAAGCTCAAAATAAGAAATCAGTTTATTTAATGACTTAGTACAGTTTGCATTTGTATTTTTTTTTAAAGAATTTTCTTCCTCCTCAGTTGCCAAATTACATTACAAATTACATTGTGCCAAAAATCGTTGTTCAGGTAGTAATACAGTGGTTACACAGGACTAACGCCGTCTGGTTAAATCTAGTATCTTCAGTACAGTAGCCAGAACGTCTTGTCTGTGGTGAGTGTGTAATCTCTGGCAAGTCTTAAACCTCCATTTGTAAAATGCTACTTACCATTTCTCTTTTATAGTGAAAAAGAAGATGATGAAAGTGAAAAAAGAGAAGAACCTGGTGACAACTGGGAGGAGACTGGTAGTGGTATAGACAGATCATCTGGTCCTTGGAACAAGTCAGCTCCTGCACCAGCACCTGTTGTTGAACCAATTGGTAAATCTAACTCAGAGTTGTTGCTTTTTCCAGTCAGAAGCATTTCAGGTTGAACGAAGCTGCTTAGAGCTCAAGGAGTAGTTCCTATTCAGGCACCTTCAAACATACTAATGCTTGTTTGATGTACTAGCAGATGAGGAAATTTTCCTGTGAAGGGATCTAAGGAACTGAGTTGATAGTACTGTCAGATACTTTAAATAAACACGAATGGAGAGTTTTTTATTTCTGCATTCAAAAGGGGAGGGGGGGAGCATTCCACCTCTGAAGGAGATCCCTCTACTTCACAGTTTGCAAAATATCTGTTGGAAGTGTTTCGGTTGATCTAAAAATATTGCTTTGACAATTAAGCGGATGTTCAGCCAATATCTGATATCTAATATGGCAGCTCCTGAGTAGAGTTCCGTGGTTAGTAGTACACTTTTCAGATCAGTTCTAGGGTATAGAGAACATGACATTGCAAAATTGATTGTTTAACTGGGATGGGACTCTAGTTTTGATTAAATACAATTTATTAGCATAGGTGGAGATAAATTACTTAGCCATGATCTGAGTTCAGACTGTTCTCTTCCATTGAGAAATTAATTGGAACGTGGCCTACTGTGTTTTTGCTTGGTAGTACAGGCAAGGAGGTAAAGTTACCTTGTTACTTGTAGATTGTTACCTTAAATATGAACTGTTGGGATATTCTCTTCTGCACCTGGAAAGGTGCTTTAAATAATGTTTGGCCAATATGTAATTATGTGTTTAAAGCTCTAGCTTTAAAGGTAAGCTGTTAATAAATTGCAAGTAAGAGACACAAAGTCCTCATCAGTGGTTTTGATTCCCTGAACTTTCTGAGGCACTACACTGGAGCCATGTTTTAATTTGGCTACTAAGTATAGGTTAAATTACATGACACATGATTTCCTGCCTTGTCTAAAATATTTGCTTCTGGAGCTTTAAAAGGTGCAAAAACATACTTGCAAGATTATTTTATTTTTTTATTTGTGGTTGGTTGGCTTGTTTTTTCAGATGTGAATGCAAACTTACTCTCTTGTCTAAATCTTGTTCTTATAACTAGTTACAGAAACCCCAGAACCAGTTCAGACTGGTGGTGTCTACAGGCCGCCTGGTGCCAGGGAGGGTGGCAGGCCACGACGAGCACAGCAAGGACCACCAGAAATCTATAGTGATACGCAGTTTCCATCACTGCAGTCCACTGCCAAGCTTGTAGACAGTCGAAAGTAAGTTCATTCCATTCATTCCCTAAGAGACGTATTTTAACTGCCTTCTCTAAGTTCTTATTTTGTTTTAGGGCTTAAGCCTGAATTTTTCACAGTGGAAAGAAATAACTAAGAAATTATTCTGTTTGGCAAAGAGATGTGGGAGAGGTCCTAACTGTATTTTTCAACTCCAGGAAGGGCTTCTCATGAAATAACTTTCATAGGGCATTAGCCCACTGAGATAGCCTAGTGAGGCTGCCCGTTACCTTATCTTTGACTTGCTGAAGGATTTCCCTGAAGCAGAATATTTCTGCTCTCGACAGCGTTTGGTTCCCTGAGACACTGGCCATGCTGAGGCGCTGGGTTATTACTGTCAGTAGACGGGAGTAAGATGTCTTGAGCACACTGCCTTCTCATTAGAGATGTGAAGGTAACTTAAATGGAGAAATGGGGTTTAATATAAATAAAAAAATTTGCTGTCTGAGCTGTGTTTTACAATGATGAGCCCCCCCCAAAATTTGCTGAAGTGTTTTGTATTTTGTGGTGCTGAAGACTTGAGTCTCACCCTGCTTTTGAGTCCCGATCTTTCCATTGCCTCATTCCCTAGAGAAGAAATAGCTAGGCCAATACCTAATTCACTTGGCGTTGGTTTTGGTTTGGTTTTCCTTTTTTTCAGTTGTTCTGCTGGCTGTGTTAGTGACTAATACAGCCTAGCAGAAGCTTTGTTTCCTCTTGGGGTTTTTTTGTGTGGCTTTGTCTGCTTGGCAAATGAGACATGCTGTCATTGATGCTTTAGGGTTTGAACAGTGCAAATTGAGCTAAAATGAAGTTCCGAGTGAGCATTCTAGAAATGGTCTTCTGCTTTCTAAAACCTATTTTTCATAAATGCGCTTAAATTTACTTTTGAGAATGTTAATATTGAAATTTAGAATGTAATCTTAATTGTATTGGGTGATGAGCTTGATTCTGGAGATAAGGTTTTACAAGACTTGCTTGGGAATGTTTGGCTGTTCTGTTAAAACTCTAGACCTTCGTGTTGTGTGTTCATAATGTTTTTGTTGGGATGGGGTGGAATTCGACTAGAAATTCACAATTCACAAGCTAGTGATAAGATATTTACTGATTACATTTATTTTCCCTTAGGGATAAAGAAATGGAGAAGAGCTTTGAAGTAGTAAAACACAAAACTAGAGGTAGGGATGAGGTCTCAAAAAACCAGGCACTTAAACTTCAGCTAGACAACCAGTATGCTGTGCTTGGGGATCAGTAGAGCTGCATACACATTACAATTAAGGAATGCTTTTTTGGTAACCCTTCTACTAAGGTAACTAAACTACAGCTAACGGCTATGATGAACATGCCACCTTATTTCTGCTGGATCTACTGCAGCAAGTGCAGACTACTTTGACGTAAGTGATTGGTTCTCCTGCACTATGGAAGCATAATATGTTACAACTTCTCCATTGGATATGGGGCAAATTATTGTAATGATTGAACAAGAGTCATCAGTGTTCTTTAATTGCTGAGAAAGATACCTACAGCCAGTGGTCATTTCAAAATCTTTTTATGTTCAGATACTGAGCCTTCGTAAAGGTTGACTACCTCAGACTTGCTGCACTCATTGTGGACACCATGTGGATCACAACTTCTGGAAGAGAAGGTTACAGCTGTTTTAGTGGCCATCTGAAACTTGAAACCAGCTCTACTGGATTCCTGTCAGAAATCCTGCAGAAGTCAGCCATTTGGTTCCAATTTGCTATAACAAAGATTTAAGTGACCTTAATGACAAACCTATTCTGTTCCCCTTCTGAGGAATCCTGTCATGTGTAGCCATAGCCTACTAGAGACTCCTGAAGTGTACCATACCACTCATACTATCCAAGTATAACAGAGCTGTAGTTTGTTTACCTTTTTAGATAGCTGTACTGAAGTAACTACAAAACAAATTAAAACTCTCAGTATCAGATTTGAGGAATGATGGGTTTGAATGGTCTGTTTGCATTAGCCATTTTCACAGTTGTCTGTTTAAGCATTTTTTTTCTGTTCTCCACAAAAAAATGCCTGCCTTGTTTCTGGTATCAAATTGGAGTATATTTAAATAATGATGAGATGTTGTAGTGAAATAAGGTTTATTTTGTTTTTTTTTGTCATGGGGTTTGTCTTTCTTGCCCTAAAGCACTAAGACGAGTTTTGGTTTGACACAGAGGTATCCAGACTTCAACTACAGTCCTCAGAATTTGTCTTATAAAAATGAGATACATGGCAGTAGCGATACTAGATAAAAATTTCTCCTCTATTAAAAATAGTTATTTGTTTGTTGAAAGGTAATGGTTACTTGATAACCAAAATAACTTAATAAGCAGATGGATAACTAAAGCTGGTAAGCCTTATTTGTTTGGCTACTTCTGTGAAGCATGCAGGCTTTTTGAGGCAGAAATCCTCTAAGTGAAAACTCAGAAATGGTGTTTATTCAGAGTCAGGAAGTTTAGTAACAATTGAGGGCAGTGACTTCTATGAGTCGTTGCCTCATCACTGACTTAATTTAGTGGAAGTAGGCAAAATGGCACTGATACACTAAGAATATAGGACGTTGCCCATAACTCTGACTCAATGAACGAAACCTGTCAAGTACCAAAAGTGCTGTACTGTAACTGTTTTTCTCTTCTCTGAATTCTTATACCAGAAGCAAAATGAAGTACAACAGTGGCGTGCTCCAGTGTTGAGGTTTCTCAGAGTAAATGCCAAAAAATAGACCCAATATCTATAAGAATTGCCAATGGCAAGAAAAACAAGGGAACAAAACAAAACTTGCTTAAGTGTGTGGGAGTATTGTGTATGTGCAGATGATGAGGATAGTGCAGGAATCGCCTAGTTGGGTTCCCTCTGACTAACTGCTGACTCGCTTTAAATCTTCTTCTCTGAGGCCAATAGGAATTTTGCCGTTGACTTCAGTGGGGCTGGGGTTTCACCTGGTTCTTTTGTGCACAGACTAAAACTGGCCTTGCCCTTGCAGAGTTAACTGTCTCTAAAACTTCTGCTAGAAGCTGCTATTAAAGAGAGGGCTCAAGAGACTATTCTTAAAGTTGGAGACTTCATTTGGAAACAAAACCCCACTGAAAGACTAATACCAATAGCTTGGACTCTGAGCCATGTATCTTCCTTGAGAATAGATTGTTGCCAGCAAAACTGTTGATTTGTCACTAAAGATTTCTGTGGAATTCATGGTAAATGGACATGTCACTTGGTGTGGTAGAAACGTGAACTCTTAAAACACTTCCCCTGATGCTCTAAAGCGATTGAGATCACCAACGCACATGAATCAAGTTTTAGTCTACTGTATGAAGGGTAGATGAGACTGTCCATTGTACCATCTTTATTTGAGGTTTTGGGCATGAATTCTGGCAGTTTAAGAAAACCCTGTAACAGTTTCAAATCAAATAAAATGGAAATATATGTGGATTCTGGAGTCTAATGAATCTTTACCCGTAGTTGTAGCTTATGACCGTACAACAGCTGAGGAAATGCAGAGCATTTGGATCTCTTGAGGGATAGGCCATGGAGTGGGTAGTCAGCCTTATGGTCAGATGGGCTCTGTGTAAGAGCAGTGCATATTAATACGGCTTTTATTTATACGTAGAAGTTTAGTTTGCTACCTGTCAGAGTGTCTTCTGACTCCCACCGTATAGGACTGGTTTGAGATGGTGAATTGAGTATGAATGAAGCTTTGATTTCCTTTTCACTTGCAAGTAGCTCTGCTAAATTAAATAATGAAAAGGAAAAAAAAAAAGCCAACAAAAACCAAAACAACAACAAAAAAAACCCAAACAAAACAACCAACCTCTGAATGGCTGCTGTCACCGGTGTCCATCAGCTACTGATAACTAGAGGTGTTTATTTTGGGGGCTTTTCTTGGGTGTATCATTCCAGGTTCTTTCTGGAGGCATAAAGGAAAAAAAAATCAGAAATGCAGCAGATTCCATAGTACAGAACATTAAAATAGTTTAAAGTGTTTCTTGTGTTAAATATCTCCGCCAGCAACTATCAAAATGCCAGTTGTGAGTATCTTCCTTGTAACAATTAATTGTTCTGCATGCCTGAAATTTTGAAAATCAGTCCTCTGTGGAAGCTCAGTATGCTTTTGAGACTGAAGTCCAACTTTATCTGGTTTGTTGTTGCATTCATTCAAGGCATGCTAAGAACGTCCATTTCATTCCTTCAAAATGCTTGTTGAAGGCTCATTCCATAAATGAAGGATTGCCAGTTGTAGAAATGAAGAAATTAGATCCTTGATACCAGTCAGTAACACACAGTTGTGTGCCAGTTCGGGATCTTCCTAACCTGTAACATGCGTTTATGGTGGGTTAGTTATTAATTTCCAATTTAAAGGTTCCATTTTACTTTCTCTGGCTTAAAATAAAATAACACGGCCATGAAGTTACCGACTTGCTAGTAAAACATTTAAATCTCCAGTACTTACTGGAAAAGGAACAATATTTTGTGGGTTTTAGTGATATAATCTGTGTTTAAGGAATGTTAAAATGCTAAACGCTATAGAATGTTATTAAAAGTTGGACTTCTCAAATGCCTGCTGTAGGGATCTGGCACCTATATTTACTTGAGCTGATGATAAATGTAGGAAAGGATTGGTTTTGCAACATCTCTCACCCAACACAGCCCTGGTTTAGCTGTGCCATGTATAATCTTACAAATGAAGAATTGACAACTAAAAGTGACCATCTCCTGCTAATTCAGTTTTGTCTTTGTAGCTAGCTTTACCAGTCATGTCCAAAGAAACTCTCTTAGAAGACTTACAAATAATGGTACAAATTGTGTTAGAGACCTGACACCATAATGACCAGGGGTTTCGGTATTTGCATCAATTGGCTCTTCTCTTGGAAACTCTTTCACCACAACATGGCTGAGACATCTGTGCTGCTTAGGTCAAGTAAACACAATATAAATTTGATAGGACTGGGCATCTTGGAGCTTGCTTATCTGACCTTTTGCAACAGTTGTATCTTTTTGTCCTTCAAATTTCAGCCTGGTTGAGCAGTTTTAAACTTCCTTGTGGTTTTCTGTCAAATACCATAACTAAAATAGAGCAGTGTAGTCTTTTTTTTAGACTGAGGGCTTTATGTGCTTAAAAGGCGCTTGTTTCCAAGGTAGTAATATTAGTCTTACCAATATTGACATAGTCAGAGAAATGAATACCTCCTATTTTACATGACCAGTTTGTATCAGAGGCCCAAGAAACTAAATTTTACCAAAACCACCTCAGGTAATTAAAAATCCCTATGAATAGCCACAATCCAGGTTTTGTCACCTGACTGTAACTTAGTTCCCAAATTGATCCCTCTCCTGTTTTCAGTTTTTAATTTCACAAATTGGTTTTAATGGTAAATAGGGGCTTTATTTGGGAATATGAGAAAATAGTAACATGCATACTTCAATTTCAGATATGTAGATTAGGTACCTACAAAGGAGGAGGACATCTGACATATATTTCCCAATAAATTCTTCAGAAGAAGATAAAAAATCAGCTTGTCTGTATCGAGGTTAATATGAGAACCTGCAAGCTCTAGCACATAGAAGAAGAAATGACAGCTGAAAACAGAACTGAGGAGTGTAATGCTGATTTGGAGAAGTCATAACTATCGTGTATCTAGAGTTTGGCTTCTGAAGCACAAAGTGTAGTTCCACCATGTTGTCTGAAGTGAAATAGAATGGGAAGGAAGATTTTTTTTTTTTTAATTAGGGAGGGTGGAATTTATGCAGATAGAACACAGGAGGTATAAGAAGAGGGATTAGGAAGGCTGTTTTCTAAATGATAGTATTAAATGCATAGCCTGAGGTAGGGAGTGGAGTATAAGTGGTTTGATAGAAGTGCTTCGTGAGTAAGCACTCTAGCAAGTGGGCAGATACATCTGACTTGAAATCAGCAAAAGTGTTTGAAGTTTGGTACTTGGGGAAGGCATACCATTTTATTCTTTCTGTTAAAGGGAAAAGAATCAGGAAAATTTGTCCAGAGAGAAGGTAGAATCTTGCATTGGTACAAAGCTGCCTAACCAGTTGCCTGAAGAGAGAACTGAGAAAAAGCAAATTCCAAGGTAGTTCAGCAATCTGATTAGGAAATAACTTGATTCGTATTTAAGCAAGCTCATTTTTACTTCTGCAATAAAAAGCTGAGACACTGATTCAAAGTGCTATGAAGACATTTCCCTTTTTTGTGAAGCATCTTCTAATGGTATGTATATTGTGGTTCTGTGTTCAGCTGCTTAGAATATATGTTGATATAGCAAGGTTAATGAAGTTCAGTGGGCTGCTTAGCCAGATTACAAATACTAAAAATGTATCACAGTATTAATAAATCACCAGAAAAAGTAGTGCATCTGGAATACTGGAGTGTAAAGTATCATGTAAAACAACTGCGTGCACTGAGGAGAAGCAAAGCCCATTCCCATTTTGTAGCAAGAGCACAGGACCATGAGAGTGGGATTTGGCTTTGGTTTTGCACTGAGCTGCTGTGTTAACTTCAATTTAGTTTCACTTTGCCTCGGTTTCCCCAGCTGTACCAAAACAACCCAACAACCTACCTCACAGGGGTGTTGTGAGGCCAAAGCTATTCTCTGTCAAGGGCTGGGGCTGATGGAAGGTGCTACAGAGGACTAAAAATCTTTATTGAAAGATCTTTATAATAGCTTTCATTACAGTATTTTAATGCTGCTTTGGGACAGGCTTATTTCTACAGAATGTAATATCTATTTTATTTAAGTGTTATTGAATTAGTATCTATGGGTAAGGAAAAAGTTCAGGCTGAGCACTCTAACTGGTATTTTTTCTCTTCAGTTAGCTGTGCAACCCAAATGATGTACTGATGAGCCTCTTTGTTTTTACGTGGAATACACTAAAATCAATATTGCTATATTTTGTAAACCCCGTGACTGAAATAAAATCCTGCTCACAGTTGATAGCCACCTCTTATGATGTGGCTGTTTTTAAGTTTGTTCAAATTATGTGAACTAGAAACATTCATTCCTGGAAGTATCTATTTGTGTCAGGAGACCGAGGTGGTAGTTTGTGGTACATTGGAAATACAGGAGAGAGCGCAATCTTCAGAACTTTTAAAGTCTGGTATTAAGGCAGGCTGTGGAGGAAAAAGATGAAGGGAATAAAACAAAGGGAAATAGTAGCCTGTGGAGAGGTTTCTATGAAACAGAAAAAGGAAAAAAATGATCAGTAGACAGAGCTGAGAGGTATGAGCAGAGGGATAGGCAGGAGAGGAAGGAATACAGCTACAGAAGAGGCGATTACCCTATTTACTATTATCTCCTGTTTTATCAGTTGACTGCAGCTGAAAGAACATGAAGAAATAATTTTTATGCCCTTGTCTGCTGTTGCCGGTGATTTCAGGGTTCATTGCTCAGCTTGTACCGTGGGCCTCCAAAGAGAAGCAGAGAATGTGATGGTGGCATGCGTGCAGACAAATTAGACCTCTGGTGGGTACTGGGCAGAGATGAGGCCCAGCAGCTATCTGCTCATACTGATATTTTTATCACTGCAGCATCTCTAAGACAGTTGCTAGTGCGTATCAGCTGTGACAATTCTCTGTCAGAAATGATTACTGTTAAATTTCAACAGACTATTGCAGTTGCTTCCAAGGAAATGTTTAACTAGCTGAATAATAAGCACTAAAGAATAACACAGGGCTTTTTGGAATACTTATGGTGGTGATGATTATGAGTGATACTGAGGTCAACAGATTGGTAGGTGGCTTAAAATGACTTTGAGGTATATATCCTGTTATATGGTGGGGAGGAGAATTACTGTAAGATGGATATCATCTATTCTTTGCCCCTCTTAACAAACTACCTTGGTCTTACTGTCTTTCCAGCTACAAAGAGCTGCTTCTACCATTCTCTTATCACTTTCCTCCCTGTATTTTTCTAATATGTCACTTTTTTTAAGGTGCTGATGAAACAGCAAATATTAATTAAGAGAAATACATGCTGTAATATTTTTCCATATTGTTCTGTCTTTAATACAGCCTAACATCTTACTCGCTTTCTTGACTGCAACTACACATTGAGCAGATGTCTTCATCAAGCTGTCCATGGTGATGCCTAGATCGTCCCCTTGAAAGATCACAACTAATTCAGAATCCACCAGAGCATGTATGAGTGGTTTAAAGCCTTTCCAGTATTCATTGCCTTGGGTTTATTTTCTGTTGACATTCACTTGCCACTGAATTGCCAAGTTTACAGAGTTAGCTTACCCTGGCAATCACCATCTTCCCCAGTGCTGACAAACCCAATAACTTTCTCTGGGCCTTGGCTTTTGCCATCCAGTATACTGAACTCTTCAGTTTCATGTATATAATTCACTTTTCTTAGCAGTGATTATCATGGCATGCTATTACTAACTTTTACTTGATCTGACCTTTTCTGTTTCTTGTCTCCTATCTTCTGTACTTAATTTTTGTTTTAGCTTAGTTATAGCATTGAAGTCACCGAGTTATAGCTGTCTGCTTTATTTCAAACAACTTGCCTACAGAAAATCACTAGTTAAAATGTCAAAAGCTTCCTTTTTTTTTTTTTCTTAGATTAAAACAAATCACTTTTTCTGTATCTCTTCCAGAGTATGTACAACCATAACAAAATGATTCAAACCATAAAAACAGGCTGATACAAGAGAACAAATGCATTGAGAAACAGGTAAAACAGACGTGAATCTGATCTCCCAGAGCTTAACTTCATTGGTTTCGGTGGAGTTATTCCTGTCACTTGAGATCAGTTTCATTAAAACTTGACTTGAGATCTACTCACTTGAAGTCTAGATAAAACGGCCAGAATCGAGTACGAGTGAACAAGCCCCATAGCGAACTTGTTTTAAATTTCTGGATTACTCTGCTCTTTGTTTGTGGCAGAGGTGAAGCAGGTGTGTTACTTGGTCTCTGACCAGCAACCCCATGGGCTCAGCCACGCTTAGTCTAACTGGACATTGAAATTAGATTACGGTATTTGAGATGAAGACGAGTGCAGCAACAGTGGGGGCTGGGCTTAGTCTTTGTGGTTTGTTTCATCTCTTCACGTTCTCATCTTGTACTTTAAAGATCGCACATGTGTAAATAAGGTTAAGTCTTAAGTGCTGACTGCATTTACCAGTAATGCTACCTTTAGAAGTACAAAGGAGACTTTGTAAGGGAAGACTCAAGCCTATTAGGATGTCTAGGTTACCACTTAAGAACTGCCTTGTCTCAGTATCAATACTGTTATCTAGAACAGCTGCTTTCCAGTAGTAAGGATATGTAGTTGAAAAGAATGTACCTCAGATTTTACAACTTATTTGCGTGCATCTGCTGGGCGTTCTGTTACAGCAGTTACTAGTACAGTACTCTGTCAAAAACAGTTGTGGCTGCTGGGGGTTTATAAAGCTGGCAAATGGGAGCTGAGGTTTTTTTGTTAATTTTGAGGGAGCAGGGGGAGTAGCGCAGATGCAGCAGTATCTGATAGTTGTTAGAATGTAGTACTTCATACCTTCTCCCACACATCTAAGACTCATCTCTGCTGCTACACTTGCCAAAGCACTGTCTTGCCACTGTAAATCCTTACTGGGTTATTTACTAACTACTCCGTAACCTTTTCTGACTGTGCACTGTGTCTTTAATCTGGGAATGAGGTAAAAGGCAAACTGGCTTTGTAAACTGGCTTGACTGTTTTCTGGATAATTGGCTCTGCTAATTGCTTTTTCTGCAACTCAAAGCCCAGCAAAAATGTCTTGATTTGACCTTCCTTCACCCTCGAGTATTCCCTTCATCTTTTGTTCATCTACATTATTATGCCAAGGATTTCTAGCCAGGTGCCTGCACTATTCACCACTTATTTAGAAAGCAGCTCTATAAGCAAGAATTCCAGAGTCTTGATTGTGCTGCCTTTATTCAGTCAGGGCTCTAGCATCACAAACATGGCTCAGTCTGTTGCAAAATTGCTTGGCAAGTAAATGTGATCTCCTTGAAGGATTTACACCTAGACCCTCAAAGGCTACAGGGGAGCCTGATTCCCCCAGAACTCAGCAAAATGAAGGCAGGAGTACTGGTCATGGTACACCACAGTTCAGCTAGAAAGAGGAGTGCAGGTGCATGACTGGTAATATGCTAGCTCAAATGAAACTGTCTTATCTGGAGAGCAGGGTCTAGCCTAAAGCTTTTTTATTTTTTTAATGAAGAGATGACTGAGTGAAGAAGAGTAAGAGGACATCCCTTTCAGTGAAAAAAATTATGAAACTGAATGTTTTCAGCAATGTACCAGAATGTCTCACCACCAGACCTAATGGGAAGAAATGAAGATAAAGCCATTTGAGTGCTTGCTGTAGTGCAAAAGGAAGAATGATACTGTCTGGCTGGCAAAATGGTTGGCTGGGAGCCCACTGAGCACAGCAGAAACTGTTTCAGCAAAGCAGAGTACAGTATGATCTATTTCTGAGAATCCCTGTGTGGCCCCCACAGTTAACACAGGAACCTAACGGTGCCTGTATATTTATATAATTATATGTTTATAGTCATAATTTAAGTTCAAAACCTGAACTATATATATATTTTTTTGTCAGTAGATTTTTTTACCCTGGTTTACCTATCATGGCTTCTGCATATGACAACTTCTACCTGTGCAGTGCACATACCTGTTGTTGTCCTTTCATCCCATGTTAGAGTAATGGTATCAAACTCTGTAAAGCACTTTTGTGATGTTTCCTGTGAAGAAAGTTGAAGAAAATAAATTTATCTTAACAGCACCGACTGAATTTATACCTCCCAAGTTTGTCTTGCTGTTGTGTTCACCCCTCTCTCCCGTGACTGAGCAGCAGCAGCAGTGGGGTGGTGGTTGGGGGGGGGCTGGAAGAGCTGCCTTCTGCCCTGCCTTCCCTCCTCACTGTCCTTCCCCCACCCTGGCTGCGTCCCACCTGCCTTCCCCGGGGTTAAAACAGCCCCTGGGGCCGGCTCGGGGCACCTACACCCGCACCCCAAGGGGTAGTACTCGCTCTACTCACCTGACTGGTTCCACTGGGGCTTGTGGTATGTGTCTGATTTTAGCTGCTCCCTTTGGCCCTGCCCCCAGCATTCACAGCAGCTGCAGGAACTATGTGACTCCCAGACTTCTTTAAAGCTTAGCTAAATGGGTCAAGGGAGCGGTTTCTTATCTGTAAAGTGAGAAACAGCAGCCCTACCCTTTGCCACAGCAGCTTATTCTGAGGAGGGGGGAAGATAAAAAAAAAGGGTCCTGTGACTAATGTACTTAGGTCTCACCTACTGCTCTTCACACCTATTCAAAGTGCCTGCAATGCAAAGCAGCATTTTGGAGGTAGAACAGAGAATTGCTGGTGAAATACAGTATTACCACGTTTTGAGTTAAGGCAGGAGCAGCAGAATTGTTTTCAGTGTGAGGCCTTAGAGCAAGGTGGAGATGGCTGACATCCACAACTAGCAAAAAGCATTAAGCTGCTAAGATCAAGAAAAGTAAAGCAGGTGCCAAGACTCCCGTCGCTGCAACTCAACACATCAACCTGGCCACAGCCTAAGCCCCCCGACAGGGGCACAGATTTCACTTCTCAGAATCAAATCCCTCCCATTCACTGGCAATTCCTTCAGGTCATCCTGACAGCGTGTTGCAGAGCTCACTGACAAAACAGCCACTGCACTCAAGTGGGAAGCAGAAGCCCGAAGTACAGCCTTGCATGTAAAGGCTTCCCTCGCACCTGGGGACAGCTCAGGTCCCTCCTCCCTTCCCTCAGTGGGTTCCTTCTCCCCAGCCTAGAGCAAGATTCTCCAGATTCCGTGGGGCTTAGATGTCTGTGGCTCCTGTCTTCTATCTGCAACCCAGACTGACTTCCTGTAAAACAGAGTAGTCAGCAGCTAGACAATAAAAGTAGAATATACTCCCTCCCTACCCCTCCAAAAAAAAACACAATAAAGAGGTAAATTTAAATAGACTTTAAAGATGTTTGTCAGAGCTGGTTCTATGTTTGCTGAACAGGTTCATTAGCACTCAGAACAGCAGCACCTCAACAGCACCCCTGCTTTACAGAAATAATTTAGTACACCCCCTCTATTAGTACAAAAATTTACAACCAGTTCTTTTGGTCCGGTTTCCCATTTTCCCCTGCAATAGAAAATACCCAAAGAAGAAAAATTCATGTAAAACCTAAGAAGCCCACTACTGTGTGGGAAATGCAACAGAATTCTTATCAACTGGTATTTTTCCCCACAACACATGGATAAAAGACGTGGTAAGCATCTCACAAAGTATTTCTTAACTTATTATACAACGGTGTCCCTAAACAAAATCATCAGTGAGATAGTTAGGACATATTAGAGACAAAGTGTTTTTTGGTTGAGTTCTTGCCATATTTTTAGATGCTACTGGTAACCAAGACAATCTTTCCTATGAGTATTACTGTAAAGTTATTTTAATCTCAGGACAAATGAGAAGTGAGACTCAAAGCTTTTAATTTTTGTGGTGAGAATGAAAAAATATAAATACAAATTTAAGAATGTACAAATCAAAAGCACAGAATTTGCTCAGTGTACTCTGGATCGCTTGACTCTGCTCATTTCTCCCAGTGCTTTTCTTTTCTGGGATGATCCAGTTCTAAGTTCTGTGTTATTCTGAAGGTAAGATTCAGCTTCCGGCAAGCAGTAAGACTCCACTGGGGGAGGTGGATCCTTCAATAGAGGAAGAAAAAAAATGTTTAGCTCAAGAAGCTTCTGAGAAGAATGAAACAGCTCATTAGTTTTCAAAAATGGAAAAATAACGAACACTGCACATCTGTATTTTGAACACATTTTGCAAGCTCCCTACCCTGCATCAGATCCCACCGCCAGCACTAGACCAAATCGTGTCACAGCAGTTAAAATCTGAGGCTGCGGATCGGGAGGCTCAGCGTGGCCACAAGTCCTGGCAGAGGAGGCAGGGAGGCATGCAGTCCCTGCCCAGAGGCTTGGGGTGGCCGGGACAGTGGAGGTGAGGGGCCTGCCCTGCCCCTCCAAAACCCGTGGGGCAGGTGAGGAACACCCCTGAGATGAGCACCCCCCCCCCCCAAGACCTGCACACCTGGACAAGGTAGTCAGCTATGTACTCGGGTTTCAGGCAGTTCACTCCCTGGGCTGCTGCCTCCACGACATTAACCCTGGTGTCATCTGGCTTCAGCTTACTGAAGTCAGCAAAGAGATGAGTCGCTTCTTTAAAGAGAGACGCAGAATGACCAGAAAACACCTACAGATTAAAACACGACAGACAAAAACTAGTTTATTTGTGTTTCTTCCCCAAGACAAATGTTCCATGACCTATAATTTCACTAGCAGACCAATGGGAAATAAAATACCATTTACAGCTGCATTCTGTACCATCACGTACCTTTCAGGAAGGGTGATCCTTCTCATCGGAGCAGGGCACAGAAATTCTATCCTTGGTTCCCACCAGCGCTACTGACTTGTGTCACCTCAGACAAGCTGCTCCACCTGACTACTTGCAAAATGAAGATGACACAGCTTTTTCTTCCCACCCTTTGACCATGTCTCAGCTATCCTGTGTAAGCTATTTTGTCGGTTAAATCCTTTTACTCACACAGAAAATGCCCAGCACAGAGTTTAACAGAAGGAAAAGGCGGGGGGGGGGGGGGGGGGGCGGGGGGGAATTTTTAAAAAAATCAAGCATATGTGTATTATTTTTTTTTTTCTTCAAGAAACCTACATACTTTTGCTCCTCCTGACTGAAGAAGGCGCCTGAATCCCGCTTCCTTGCTTTGATCAACATTCAGGATTACTTTCCAGCCACTGAAAGCTCCCTAGATAAAAGACTCAATTTAGTCAAAAGTACATTGGTACTAAAAGAGTACAAAGACTTAATGAACCTATAATTTGCCCCTTTTGGAATACCCATCAGAGAAACATTTGCTATCACCTAGTTTTGTCTTTAAGTGTAACAGGAAAAAACTCCACAGAATATACAACTATTGGGCAACACCTTACAGGCAGGCAGCTTGCCACCAAGCCTTTTCACCTGCACAGCAAGATGGGCAAACCGATCTATGAAAAGACCCTTGGCAATGAGTATTTTTCTCCAAAACATCAGACATTCATTTACAGAAACACATCTTAAGTTACATGGAAACAACGTTTCCCCCCCTACCCTGCACCACATTATCAACTCAGTTACAGTAACAGCCCCTGGGGCCAACTGGTTGCCTCCTACAGGCACTCGCTGTGGTTTCCAAGTAGGAAAGAGGTACGTTCATTTAAAAGAGTTTATTGTAAAATATACACAAGTCAAGATTTATTCTGATGCGACTGAAACAGCAGCAGTGTTTCTACCTTTCAAAGAATACTTGACTGCAACACCTGGTTTGAGAGAGGAGTTAAAAGGCTTTGGGGTGCCCAAGTCCCACTTGCAAAAAATCTCACTGAAAGACTATGGAACTTGCACCATAAAAATCGCAGAAGGTGCTTTAGGAAAGGTGTAAACTTGTGTGCTGTTTGAAGCGCAATAGTACACTCACTGCTAGAGCTATAAAAATGCTGTCCAGAGAGCTGTATTCACCTCTAGAGCACAGCGAGTGTTACTGCCAGTACCAGCTGCGGTTTCCCAGTCAAGCCCAGTTGCATTAGCTGCCCGGTCAGAGCTCTTGACCTGCAATCGTCATCCTCCGGGCTGAGGGGCGTTTACATACCCAAGTAGCCACATTCCAGCTTTGCGAAACAAAAACAATGGTTCAGGGGGAGATTAAGACTTTTAATATACCAGCATTAGAAGTAATTTTTAAAAAACAAGATTACTTAACTAGAATATAACCAGCTAAGCCATTTTGTTCTTAATAACAAGGCAGATTACTTCTCCCTGCCAGTTAAGGTTCAGAGTTTCTTCGTGACAACCACTGTCCTGTCCACCCACACTGCACAACTTACATTGCACAAGTACTTAAACACCCCAGCAATACCATACCTCAACAATACCAGTTTCTTGCCACTCTTTATGAATTTTTTTCCTCCACCTCATGGCTGCAAGTGCTAGTTTCTTCTGGTTTACATTGATTCCAGGCAAAACATTAAGTATGGAATTACTTCCCCACTCATAATCTTCCTCCTAGAACCATCATAAGCCTGAATTACAAAGCAGTTCGGCCAACTTCACCAGCAGGAATATAAAATACACACAACAAAAAGAAAAAACAAACAAAACCAGAGCAAATCCCAACTCATACTAGCTTTATATATTGATTTTATCTGTCCAAAACAGCTCTAGGTAAAGATATGGCTCTTAATTGCACATATATATCTAAATCAACTCATGTTTTCTGTGACACCAAGTCACATACACAACCCAGATTCCTCTTGCAGTTATCTACAATGGAATTCAACAGCAGGGCAAAGCAACTCACTACTCTGGGCACCACCAACTCTACATTGCTGCAGTGTCTTCCACAATGATGAAAGCTGTTTTTCATGCATAAAGATATGAACCAGTCTACTGTGAAATAATGGTTAGGGAGGTGAGGAGTTGGAAGAGATAGTGTTCAAAAATGTTTATGTATGTGGTTATAGAGTTAGATTAGTTAAAACTATTATATGTTCATTTACTGAAAGGATCAAGATTTAATTCTTGGTGTAACAAGATCCATGTAAATTTAGCCGATACCAGAGAGAATTTACCAAGAGGTACTCAAGCTTCAATTTTCAGAAGGGGCTATAAAAAATAGTGCTATTTCATTTATCCTATACCAGGAGTTTGGTCCAGGACTAG